TGTATGTTTATAACGTATAATACAGACTTAAAGCACAATTGTAATGCGATTCGCGTTGGACTCGGCGTCCCAATAATTACTGTATTATTATACGGCCGTATACGTTTCGGGCGGACGATAAAATGATACTTAAACGCGGAAGTGTTCGTATATCAACCTAACCGCCGTCGATACTACCATATTAAGTTTATTATTACGATACGTAATATATTATACCTATACGATATGCTTTTAAACGTGTTTTTGAGTGTTGTTTAACCGTATATAATACTCGTATGCTGTATACATATATTATGCAAATGAGCAAAAGGTGTTCTCGGTACAGTTCAGCGATGATCAAAGATAAATTATGAATTCCGTACGTGTTTATCGGCACGTTATAATATTTGATCGTAGGTATTCTGCCAAGATATAAGACACGCCGACTACCGCCAGTGGTGGAATGGGGGGGGGGGGTGGTGGTTGTGAGGAGTTGGCGTGATCGGAAATGGTTTGTTATAGTTAGCGACTATGACGTTCTCGAGACTGCGTCGCATAATAATCCTGGTGTTGCGCATTACAGTAATCGCATGTATGCTGTACTGTTAATACCACGATCACTTTCAAATATTATGTGCCCCTCTCTCCATATCCACCCCGTAATTAGAGTCTATTAGATCCGTAGGTATCTTTTTACACAGAGCACATACTGGATAACCGATTCTACGAGGAAATATTAAGCTTGCGGACAGTTATACACTAAGGCGGGTACGTTATTGATTAATTGTTATTGTATAACATTGCATAATGTTCATGACGTCAACAAATATGTCATGGGCAAATCAAAAAAGCTCGCCCTCTTATTAGTATACATATATGCTGTTCGACTTTCATGGCTTCATTATCTGCTGAATGTGTACCTTTTCGCCGACGGAACATCGAAAAGTAGTAGGATTAATATCACTGCAGGTTTCCGTGACTATTCTTGAGCGCATCCTTTTTTTAAATTCACAGTAACCTACTTCGTTTTGATGCGATCAATGTTTTTGCAAAATATGTGTCTCGTGTGTTGGCGATGACTTCGTAGACCCAAAAAGCAGAGATTTTGAGGGGAAACACTTGGTGGGGATTTCTTCTTTGATTGAGACGACAGAACCTTGGTTGGAAAATAAATTTAAAATATCACATCATCAATCATCATCATCAAATATCAATAAATTATAAATGAAAAACTGTAAAGCACCGAGTGACGGCAAGTTTGTGACTGTGGATAAAATGTAGATGGTCAATAGCAAATCCAATTTCAGGTTTGTCGGAAAGTTTTTCGTATGGTAAATACCAATTAAAACTTTTTAAAATGTTATCATAATAACGATCCCGCGTGTGGAAATTAAAATTGAAAACAAATCCTCTACAATCTCTCAAATAAAGTCTCGTCGATATCTTTCGGATGTAAAACGGCATCCGTTCCCGGTCTAATTATGTATTATCTATCTTTGTATGTTCTTCGAGTTTCGGGACTGTCTACAGGGCGTCTACAGAGGCCCCGTATACAGGAGCGTCATTCGGGTAATTCACACTATACTTTGGTAGCGGTGTTTTTAAAAATGTGTTTTCATCGTCGATCAAATGTATAATTAAATGTAGAATCGAACCGTTAACCAACAGAATACCTCTTAGCAGAGATCAAATATTTAAACACGAGTGATTGTCATCATGGTTAAATAAACGGACATATCACCGAGATAACGGTCCGCATCGAAACTGACGTTATAGTGTGACACGAGGGTTGTCACTCTTACGCTCAACGGGTACGACGGTTATTGCAGTTTCAGTTCCCGCGGTAACGGTACAAGAGAAACTGCTTATCTACGCAAAGTTCACGGAGACCTACCCGAAGACAAAACGCGAAATACGAGAGGCGAAAAAACGACGTCATTGAAATATTACAATTATACGTCAAGCCGAATATCATATATTTCCCCAAGGCGAAACCGTCGGAATGAGCCGGTCACGTTTGGCGAGCCGGTGGTAAAGCGACCGATGGGAAGACCTCGCCGGCGACCGTCGGACAGGGCGAAGACGGATATTTCGGATACCGGCGGAGCAGAGAGTTTGGACGGCGCGACGGACCGGAAAAGTTCGACGGAAACGGGCGGAACGCATCTCGACGTCCTGTACGGCGCTAAAAAAAAACCGAAAAAATGTCTGTCGCCGTTTTTCGGACGTTCGAAAGTGTAAAGCGGGAACGGGCGGGCCCGAGGGGGAAAGTCCTCCGCGAAACGGACGGAGCGTACGGTAAACGGGCCGGGCGGACGGGAACGGTGGGGTAAACGGCCGAAACGACGCCCCCGTCCGCTCCGGACAGTCGTTTAATAACATCCGGGACATAATATCCGAACGGGGCGCGAATTAATATATTAGCGTGGTGGCGCAACGGCGGCACGTAGCGCCGTTTGAGACGGCACGTATGAGAGGATCGCCGCGGCCGCCGGGGGATGCCGCGGCACGTGAGCCCGGCCCGGGCGCGGCCGTACGCGAACGCGTGACGGGTTTAGCGCTCGGCGTATGCGTACGCGCGGCATACGATATAAGCCGCGGCGAAAAGAGAGGCGGCGGCGGCGGCGGCGGCGAGGGGCGGACGATAGAAACGTGTTTATTAGCCCGGGGGCGAATCGCGTCGTATAGACCCGCGGGCCGGGCCCCGTACCGCGACCGTTCCGACGTCGCCGTCGCCGTCGCCGTCGTCGTCGTCCGTACGTACGGGTACGTACGCGCGCGGCGATCGTTGGCCGTTGTCGGCCGCGCGTACGTTCGGCGGCGCGTCCGCGGGGTAAAGGGGACGCGCCTGGGCCGGCAGCGCGGAAATACCGCCGGCGAAACAGGCCGTTGGGTTTTATGCCGCGCGATCTTTGCGCCGGGGCCTCGCGACCGGAATAACAATAAACCGACCGACACGACGACGGCCGCGGCGGCGGCGGTACCGGTCGCGGAACACCCGCGGCCGAGCGGGCGATCGTCAGCCGCCGAGGCGGGGAGTGGTGGTGAGGAGGCGTTAGCGGTGCGGGGGAGGGGGTGGGGGGGTGCAGGGCGGGTCGGCGGGCACTCTACGACGCAATATCATCTCCGCGCGATCGTATCTTCCGCCCGGGACCGACCGACGTGTCGACGTGCGAAATTTTATTACTATACCAACGCGTCTGTTTTCTCTCCGGCCGATTGCCCGGGGGCGGCCGCGACGTCGTCGTTGCTTTTCCGCCGCCGCCGCCGCCGCGCCTCCTCGCACGCGCTACTCGAACGCGTATCCGCGTACCCGCACTCTATACGGTATTACGGCGCGCGTTATGTTCAAAAATAATAAGCTCGCCGGGAAAAAATGAAAAAAAAAAAAATAATAATAATAAAATAAACACACGGAAAAGCGTGTTAGGAATATTTCATCCCGTTCGCGAAAAATTCGCGAAACATACGCCGCCTCGGGAAAAACATAACGACTCGTTTTCGCGTTCGAAACGGTTTTCCGCACGTGCGTGAACGTGCGGAAAGTTTCTCCCCTCCCTTCGCTACGTCCGATCGACTTCAAACCTCTAACGATGTTTCGGAACCCGTTTGGAGCGATTCCGGATCCTGGTTGTCGGAATTCGCTGTTACGCGGTACGGGACCAACCGTGTTTTACGGATTTTTATTTCCGTTCCGTTTGTTTTAGGTTTTTTTTTTCTTTTCTTTTCAATAGGGTAACATATTGTAATAGTAAAGGAAACGGTCGCTGATCCAATCGAAAATTTCCCGATAGTTTTCTATTAGGATTTCACATTTAGTTGAAATGTTCCGGATACTATTCCGATAAATGAGTGATATTTATGCAACGCCGCCATCGGTTTTTACTGAATTCTATTCCGGGTTTTTAGTGATTCAGTCGAAAAAACTTTAATAGGAGAACCGTTATTTTTTATTAGCATTTTCTATTGTATGTGAACAAAAACAATATTTTAAAACAAAAACTGTAAATTGCGTATTCGTAAACTAAATTTGTCTACACAACTTGTGTTGAGATACCGAAATCAATGTATCTGTCGCATCGATTTAGTGAAATCGCTCTTTTTATAAAGTGGACGTCCACTTTATGAAATATATCCATTTAGTGAAAATAACATTTTTTTAGATTATATGGACAATTTTTTGACCTATTCATGAAGTGGATACAATTAATTTTATCCACATCGTGTAATACATATTTTTTTTTTTATAAAATATCAAAGTATTGTACAATATTTTTTTTTTTATTTATATATAATATACGCGAATAATTATTTGATAGGATGGAAAAATAATGTTTATTAAACTTTAACGTATGAGAGTTTAATTTTTTTGTATTTTATATTTGATCATGAAATAAAACGATGTACGAAAAACATAACTTATTACACTCATAGTTATTTACAGTATAAATAAATTTTATATTGCATTGGGTTATTTTGTAGTAGAAATATAAAATATAAATAAACTTGTATATTTTATATTGTATAAACGGGTTTGTCAATCGTTTGGACATTATCTGAAGATAAAATTTATCAAACAATTTAAAATTATTAAACAGATTGAAGTGTTAAATTTATTGACAATACTGTCGTATACCAGTTGTTCTACATTAGTCTCTCTAGTAGTAAAACGTATTTAAAAATATAATAAAAAAAATATTATTGTATGAGAAATTATCAGAATATTATGATACGGAAAATACGGAAAGTATAAATGGATATTAAACTATCATAATAACAACATAAAATTTATATCACTCCGTACCATTGAATGTAACAGAGCAGTAGAAGTCGGTGTTCAATGGCTAAGTATTTTCCTAACATTTGAAGTGCCAAGTATTTTACAGAGTGATAATGGCCGAGAGATTGTAAACTGTGTACTGGATAAATTAAAACAACTTTGATCCGAGTGTGTCGTTGTACGACTATGGACATCCGAGGCGTCCTCAGAGTCAAGGAAGTATTGAGCGGGCCAATCAGAGATGGAAGAAAATATGTCCCAAAGATGGTCAATTGGTCTTCAGTTCTTCGCCAATAAAAACTATTCATTTCACCGTACTATTGATAGAAGCCCAAATAATGTGTTATTTGGAAATGACCCGAAAGTTGGATTGAACAGTTCAAGACTTCTAATTGATTTTGTTCAGACTTTAAATTTTATGACTGTGTGGTAATGGTTGTTCCACAATTCGATAGAGGACCTACAGATCCACTAAATATTTTATGCTTAATTGTTGAAAAAAAAATTATGTACTGTATAAGCTAAAAACTAAAAATAGAATGATTAAAGGATGGCATGGAAGAGATTGCTTGAAAATACAAGAGCGATTTTTAACGAGTGACGAGATTTTGTTGGAAAAAGAGCTAACTGTTCGTAAGACTGTAACTGTTACAACAGGTGGACATGGTGTTTCTTGTTGTTCATGTAAATCTAAAAGCCAAAAGGTGTGCTTGTTTAAAAAAAAAAATTGTTCACTTCATGGAAAAAACGGTTTCACTAAGTAGATGCCACATATCCAGTCTCGCGTGTATCGAGATATAATAATTTCACAGGATCTCGCCCGCAAGCGACGGAGGAGGCCCGAAATACAGAACATGTTTCGTGCGGTTTTTCGAAAAAAAATATGACTACTACCTACTAAAAGTTCTATCGTACGAAAACGAGAGGAATTTCGTGGATCGTTCGAGACACCTCGCGCGCCCGTAAAATTTCATTAATATTTTAAATCCGGGGTATAGGTAGAATATCCGATGAATACATGTGATAAATACTATAATTATATGATATATCGTGATACCGTATTGGTACACGAGCGTATACGTTAACGCGTGTACCTTTATCCGTTAATTATACACCGAAAATCAATATCATACTATACCAGGATCGTATTTATTGGGGGGGGGGTGGCTGAGTATGCTGCAGCCCACTCCTTCGAAATTTAAAAAAAATCTAAAAATTTTATCCGCGGTCTATGAAAGACGCTTAAATAAAGTTGCGATAGTCTTATATTACATTTTATTGATTTTGAATTCATATCCTTGTTTTGTTATCTAATCTTATCAACGATGTGGACCACTTTTCTAACGGCAATATCGCTAAAAATTTTCAACGATAGCGCTTCTTCTGAACAGAAATCAGCTTGTGGAGATACTTTAGGGAGAATATTTTTCAATTTCCATAAGTGTTTTCCCAATAAACGGGGGGAAAATGGAGAATAAACGGGAAACTGAACGCAAAATAGGTGCTCGTATCAATAAAATAAAATAAGGGCCTTTTTTTTTTTTTTTTCTGCGAACAACTTTTAACATTTCTACCGACAATTTCGCCCCGATTTTCAACGATAAAGCTTTTTCTGAAAGAAAATATGACCGGTGAGGTACTTTAGAGAAATGGTTTTTTTTTTTTTTTTTTTAATTTTTCCAGGAGTTTTATACCCTACATTCTCGACTTTTCACCCGCAACCGTGAACGCACCGGTCCCCATCATCCTAGAACGGTTGTTTTTTTTTTCCTACCGTACGACGATGTTCGTGGACTTTGATCAGCCCTCCCCGAAATGAAATTCTGGATACGCGCCAGTATGTAATACAATGTCTGGTATTTTCAGTGCCCGTTTCGAGAATGTTTCACCCGTCGTCCGGACGACGACGACGCGAGCGACAGGACCGGCCGGTCGTTCCGAGTATCGAAAACGCAATTTCGCGCGCGCGCGTCAAAACGGCGGACGTCGGCGAACCGTCTTTCCGCGAACTATGGGCGCCGCTCGACGTCGCGCCGTATCGTTCACTTCCCGCGTACCGCAATAACGCGGAGCCCGGCGTACGGCCGGGGTTTCTATTATCAGACGAGCGTGCGCGGGGCGAAACGAAACCGTCGCGACGACGCGGCGCGCGAAACGTAATGATATCGCGTTTTCTCGGGCGCGTAACGTTCGCGCTCCCGGCGTAAGTCGCGAACCGTTTACCTGCGCGCCGGCGGCCGGTACGCGATGCGCGGAAGTCCGGCCACCGTTTCCGCCGGACCTCTGCCGTCATTATCATTATCGCCGTTGTTATTATCGTTATTGTTCTTGTTGTTGTTGTTCTTGTTGTTATACGCGCGCGCAGCTACACCGTAAACTCGTTTTGGATGCTAATCAGCAACTTATATAATAATAATAATAATAATAATTACAATATGGAACGTCGAAACGCGCGCGCGCGCGCGGATGAGGAATGTTTATGAACTCCCGTCGTCGTCGTCGTCGTCAGAAGACTTTAATTTCTTGATACGAAATTAGTTTTCTTCCCGAGAACGCACGCATAAAACGTGAACACTGTATTATAACGCTCGCGCGGGTATTTACATAAGGGCACGTGTGTAAATCGCGTAATTATAATTTAGTAACTGAACTCGCGGGACGGTCCCGTCGCCGCCGCCGCCGCCACCGCCGCCGTGTCAACAGAAACGGCGTATAATTTTCCGCAAACAAAAACAATACGCGACTGCGTTATTGTTGTTGCCGTTCCGCGCGACATTCGCCGTTGTCGTTGTTTCGGGAACGGCGGCAATACGGGACGCGATTGATGTTTCGACAGTGCGCGTGTGACAACGGACAGCGGTGGGCGGCGGCCCGTGTACGACAACCGCCGATCGTGTTTACCGCGCTGCCGGCCGTGTTGTTTTCAACGCCGGTAGCGCCGGAACGACGGGGGGCGCGCGTCCCCCCGCCCCATCACGCGGAAATCCCGTTCCCCGGGATTCGTTTCTGAAACACGAGGATCTCGGCGGTCCGCTACACCTTTTTGTTTTGGACTCGTAGCGGAGCTGCGGGTCGTATTATCGGTTTTACAACGATGTCCGATTATTATTATTTTTTTTCTCCGACTAAAACTTTTCTACTGGAGATTTCACTCCGGTTTTTTTCAAACGTAGCGCCTTTGCCGAAAGGGAATTTACGTGGGCTGATACTCTGCGATGGGTATTTTTCGATTTTCACAACGGTTTTCGTAATAAATCGCAACGACCGGGAAAATTACCAGATTGTTTTCGAATATTTTCAAATGTAACGCGGAATGCAAAACAGATACAGCCGACCGACCGCCGCTCAGAATCGTTTTTCTGTTTTAATCGAATCGCTAATTGATGCATATATTGTTGTACGTTTGTTTCTACGTTACAAACTTCGCACCTAAAACAGTTAGTGTGCCCAGCGATCGTGCGAAGTATGTCCGTTTGTTTTTGTATTTGATATCGAAACAAAGCTCCAAACATTCCAATCGTTTGTGTAAACGTAAAAACGTCTCTGAACACTATTTTGTTTAAAAACGTTAGCGCAGACATTATATAGCTATCCTGTTGAATATGATATAAAACGGTGCGATAATTAGGGTAGGATTAGACGATACGTTTCGTCGGTTACCGATAACCTGGAAACGATTGATATAATTTGACCACAACATCCAAAATGGAATAGATTTTAGTACAGAAAATCTATTGACGCCATTGTAAAATATAATTTGCGCTTTGTGAGCGAATGCGTACTTATTATATTTTATATATTCTAGTTAACTTCAAGGGTTAACAACGACCTGTAAAAATATAATATTAAAATAAAGACAATAATTTTACCGCCCCATTAAAACCTTATTATTTTATATCGTTCACATTAATTTAATGTATTTATTTCAGTTCTTCCTCAAAAAAAAAAAAAATCCTCAACACATCGATATTTTAAAGAGCATTTGAAAAAAAATTACGTTTAGTCCTAGCGTTTCAAAAATCATTCCGACGTCACTGCTTATTAGAATAATTGGTTTAAAAAATATTACTATCGATGGGAGGTTGTAAAATTGAAATATCTATAACGAAAATGTTGTTTTTTGATATATTTTAAAGCAAAAATAAGTTCACATATAAAGATAAAACTTATGATATCCGCAGTGTTTTAAATAGGTAACAAAAATTAAGTGTCGATTTATCCAAGAGCAACTGCTTCCGAAACAATCGTTTGCATTATTCTGAGCTTGGCTAAACATTATTTAACTAAACACACAAATTACACAATGATAGTTATGCACAATGTTTACCAGTGTTCTGGTTCAAAATTCGTTCACAGATTATAAAAGCTGTCCTAGGATAGTATATACAAGTGCTATTAAAGGTAATTAAATATGTATATTTAATCAAAATTTACCAGTGGCTAATGAAAAAACGATTCTGAGCGGATTTCGGTTGATAGTGTTGATTTTTCAAAAATATATATTATGTAATATTATGATAGAATACATTTTACATTTTTTTCAATAAAATTTATTTAATTTTGTACCTATTTTTATGTTTTTCCTACGTTTTTCCCGGTTTTCCAATTTTTTTTCATGTTTTTCTCATTCATTGGGAAAGTTCCTGGGAAAATCAAAAAACGACTATCTCAAAGTGTGACCCAAATCACATTTTCTTTCGGAAAAAGTGCACATACTTGTAAATCGGAGCAAGATTTCTGGTAAAACCGTCGTTTACGGATAGAAAAAAATAATAAAATAAACGCCGTTGTAAAACCAATACATTTCTCGCTCCACTCGGAACCTAAAAATGAAAAACCGCATATCTAAATTTATAACCTATTGATTTATATATATATCGAAAAATTGATACATTCCCAACATCTGAAACGTATTTATTTCGGGGGAATAAGCGCGAAACAGAAACGATATGACGGTATTTTATTTGTATCGTCGTCGGCGTTGTCACCTCCGCCGCTGCTATTATATAGATGTCGACCTCGGGAAACCCATTTAAAAGCCCGTACAGAAATCGTAAGGACGTTTTGTGCGGAGGTGGTATAATAATAACTCGTTCCGGAAAAATTACAAACTATTTCGATAAACTTAAATTCGCGAGTCTGTATTGCCGTTTTTCCTTCCTTTTGAAAGCGGTTTGGCGGCTGCGGAATAATTTCGTCTCGGTGATTTTTATTGCACCGAGGGGCCCCGTTCCTTTGTTCGCGCTTTCGGGAGGCGTTTCGGGGATTCGAAGTTTCTCCGTGTAAAATTATTACGAGACCGAGAAACTTACGTAACACAACGCAATGTCGTGTACACGAATAAAATATATTAGCCGTATATTTAAAACGTATTGTGTACGGAGTCTTAAGACGCCGTCGCCGACTCGCACTTATGTTTTTGTTACCCGCGCGATTTGTACGACAATGCGCGGCGGATGTTATTTTACTTTGATTCGCCTACACCGCGATCGATTGTGAAGCGCTATTAATTGCAAATAATCTCGCATCGACGTAATATTGTAACGCGTCACACCACGACGTTCCGTAAACTCTAGTTGCGTTCGATACGTCATCTCGTCATTATGGAAAGTTTTCCGAAAGAAAATCCCGCGATAGCCGTCCCGTCAAAAACGTGCTGGAAGGGTTTTCGTGATTCGCGGTAGATTATTTTTGACACCGTATTTCGTAAACGATTTTCTTGAGAGGACGTTATTATACCTGCCTTTAAAAAAAAAAAATACAAAAACCCGTCTAACAATTAAGCTACAGCGTGTTAGTTTTTTTTTATTTATGATTTGAATTGACATCTGAAAGGAGCAATGGAGTGCAAGAAACGTTATAACAAACTTATCTGAAATCTAATAGTATGAAAACGGAAAATACACAATAAGAAATACAATGAGTTGTCGAAAAATATTCATAACAATATTTCTTAGTTTAGCTAGAGCAGTGGTTTTCAAACTGGGTGCCACGAGCGTTTACTATGTGTGCCGCGTTTATTTGAAATTTGTTTTCCTTAAACTGTGACGGACCACCGGTTACGGCGATCTGCTCGTTAAGTGTGAATTCGTAATTGCTTTTTGATTATGATTCGTTTGTGTATGAAACATCAATTGTGTTATTGTATAGTTCTAATTTTGTAAAAAAAATTAAATTATGACGGAAGAACAATGAAGAACAATGACAAATATGTCTCAGTGTGCCGTGAAAATGTTGCAAAAACTGAAGTGTACCATAGTAAAAGAAGTTTAAAAACCACTGAGCAAGAGAGTCGAAAACAAAAGTCGAAATTCGGTATGTCGTTACGGTGTTTCAAAAGACGGTATTCCGGACAGTTTGCAATCAAATTACCAGATTTTCGAGGAATCGAAACGGAAGGATTGTTCCTGGAATTAAAAACTGGTATTCTAAAACTGTAAGAGCTCCGGGAAAACTTATGGCCCAGAAATTCACTTATTAAAAAAAAGTTACCTACATAATTATATAAACGTCTGGAAGATAATTATTCAAGACCAATCGGTCTATGGCAATAACGCCCGAACCCACATCAGATTTTCCTAGTTTAAAAGCTAATTATTCTCAAAAAAATAACGTTGTGTTTTATCGAGTTTATCGACAAAATTAATTTGTTTAGGATTCCAGACAACTGATGAGAATTCTAATATCGACCTAACAAGGAAACAGTTTTTTTTTTTTTTTTTTTTTAAACAACTCTAACGTTATTTTGTTTAAACATTGTAATTTGTATTGTAAACTCGAGTTTCAACCTTAACGCCACAATTTACGTTGCATAATTAACGGGATTTCGCTGCGTTGCCCGTCATAGACGGTAGATTCGTCTCTTAATTTTCCGTTAAAGAGAATGGTACGATATTCGCGTGCAAATCGTTATTGTTGCACATTTTCAACATGTATGTTATTTTATAATGCAATTTTAGAAGACTATAAATTTAAAACCGGCAGCTCGAGTGCTGTAGGGGAATAACATTATATCCGGTAATAAATTCGCTAATGCTTTCCAACTACATTATTCTGATCGATTGATTGCTTTTGATGAACTACCCGAAGGGACACTTTCTCCCGAAGAGAAACGATTCCAATAAAATTCGTTGCCTGGTTTTATAGCTCATTCGGCTTTTAATGTTGCCATATTTTTTTTTTTTTTTTTTTTTAATGATACGTCTTAAAAACAAATAAAAGTAACCGGTTCATAAAAATATTATCATGAAACTATACAAACTATATACGTATATATTTTTTTTATACTAGAACGTTTCGAAGATTTAACGATTGGAAATTAAATTGTATATGCGCGAAAATGCATAAAATACATTTCATTTTTTAACGGTTGTTTTTTTTCTTCTGGATTATTATTATATCATTTTTTAATAGAGTATTTTATGAAGTTTTTTTTTTTTTTATGGCCTATGATACTTTTGTGTACCTATTATTGCGTAACAATAATTTTATACTCGGCTTGATATCACGAGCATCATAATTATTATTATTGTCAAAGGCGAATAATCGGTTAATCGCAAAATGGTTTTTTTTTTCAATTGACACTGCACCACTCTACAAGTTACAATAGTATTGAACAGACAAAGGAGACCGACTGAAAAAAAAAAAAAAAAACAACAGGCAGATTATAGACTTTGATGCTTGAAAGCTTCAGTTCGCCAATGCTGTAACAGAGACAGTATTAACCCGTGTCTGCCGTTTAATGTGTCAGATTACCTACGTGCGGTATACCTACTGTTAATTGCGGTTATTAAAATGATTTCGGATTAAGCGATTCATTTGAAATCTTAAAAACTAGTCGACTAAATAGATTAAATGAAACAATAGAGCTACGCTAATTTATTATGTACCTATTGAATGAATTCAAATTTAATTCGTCCTACACATAATTGTATACTCAAATCAATGGTGTTAAGTATTTTAAATAATTATAAAACGTACGGTAGCGATAATAGTATTTATTTGATTGAGAAAATTCAAAATTATTAAGTTTACTTGAAAACTAATTGTTTTTTTTTTTTTTTTTTAATTTGTTGATTATAAGATTTTCTTAAAATACCGTTGATAGGTATGAATGCGATTCTACTTATTAGAAGACGTCTTTATTACACGGGGGTTTTTTTTTTTACTGTACTCAAATTATAATACATTGTTACGACATTATAAAAATAGAAACAACCGATTATTATTATTATTATTAACTACTAAAACGATTTTGCCCATACAGGGATTTGTATTTTCTATTTTAATATTATACTTTTTAAAAGCATAAAATATGTATTCGTACGTAAAATACGTATCTATAGTAAAAAAAAAAAAAAAAAATTAAATTTAAATAAATATCCAGTATCTTTAACGAGCCCAACTTGAAATCGATGTTTCTTTTCTGTTTTCGTCCACAACGATTGTGCGATAAAGTCTTATAATATTTTAGTTTTATGTGCGGCGGACGCACATATGGGCATACATTTCGATAGAAAAATCGTCATATTTTATATTAAATGATTATTATACTATATCTAGTTTGAAAGTTTATAACGAAATTATCTCGAAACTATATTACACGGCACGTGAACAGTATAATTGTATTTACGTCGTTGTCGTCGTATAACTGACGGTTATGTAAGTACGTGCGCCGCTGTAGATACGGAAATCATAAATAGTTTTAATTAAATTTTCGTCGAGAAATCAATTGTCTAAGGAGGGAGGCATATCATGGTAAAGCACGATGATTAATTCTCGAGAGTAAACCATATACGCGCTATTAAAAGAATATGTTATCCGCCGTATAGGTGATATTGCAGTAGATGTAGGCTTATTCGTTTTCCCGAAAATTAAAATTTGAAATTATAACCATTGTCGTCTCGCGTTATCGTTTACAGTCGTATAATGTCGATTCCGATTCACAAGCGATATTATAACGTATGAACACGTTCAATCCAAATTCCCAATTCGAATGGGAACAAACACATTGTTGCCGCCCGTATGGTGAAAACAACGTAAACATTTTTCCATTGTTAAACGGCATCATTCAACAAATCATTAAACTTAACCTCAAATTGTTTTATATTGCTAGAAGCAATAGCTAACTCCGTTAGCTCGATCGCCGATATCAATATGAAAATTGTTACACAAAACCACATCGAGCATAGGAAAATTGATTTCATTTCTTCCATGCACTTTTTTCGTTATCACGGGAAAGAAAAAATATCTAAGTCCCATAACTTACACTGTCTGCAATCAATATAATTGGATTTTTTTTCGATTCTATGGACGAAATGTCTAGTGTGTAATAGCCTTGTTGTTCGCCGAATCGGTTAATTTTGAATGCAACTGTAATCTTTTCGTTTTTTGCCCAGTACGTCGTCAAAACTTAGTTTACAGAGAAGGTGGTTGTAACTAATTTAAATATACGCGAGGCACTTTACGAGTAAATCCATTTGGATTATCACGGAACACTGGTAAGTCGAGAGTGCAAACTGTTAATGTGTTTGTGTACGTATATATTGTCAAGGGACAACAATAATATTTACCTGATAACCCCCATCTCCCTTTACCACAAAAAGTTAAAACGACCCGGGGTATTAATGAAATGAGCTCGCGATACCGAGTTGAAAACGTCTACAGATATATTAATAATTACCCGTAGGCCGTGAGGTCGAAATTATCGTGACGGTTGAAAACTATCGGAGTGAAAGAATAGGAATCAGCAAAAATATTTATGAAATAACGCAGTTATAGTAAGTATACGAATTGAGTGTACCCTGATATATAACCTAACCTAACACAACCTTCGAGATCACAAAAAAATGCAAAAATCAGTGCATCGACATAATATCATCTCGCTGTCTGTTTTCCCGACTGTTAAACAAAATTAGTATTATAGAAATACTTCCGAAAAAATTAGCGATAATTCTACCGCAAAGAACTGTTGGTGCAATTTTTCGATTGAAAAAACATACGCATATTATGATGAAAATCGTTAGAAAGTAAATAAACATCGCACATCGAAACGTATCCAAAAGCAATTATTTACACTCGTCGTCTCATTACTCATCATCGCGATTGGGTTTGCGCGAACTCTTATTAACGGCGGTGAGATGAAAATGACATCAGATAGTGTAAGCTGCAAGTGATATTGTAAACGCGCCAATAATTATTATCACGACATCAATGGGATCCGACGATGTGTTCCGAAAACTGTCTAAAATCATGATCGAATTCAGGCGTTATCGATAAGACAACAATATAGTTACATTTTACGAGTATAATATTCATTTAGGACGAAGCGATATCGATTTCAAAGGAGAACGCGATCTGACAGTAATTGCTGTTATCGCTATTACAAAAGAAAACACGCCACGATTATACAGTGTGATTCTGATGTGGGATGCAATTATATGAGTAGATTTACAATATTTTCAAAATTTCACTTATCCCGTAAACCGTGCATAACGGATTTTCAAACAGTGACCTATATTCATTTAAAATTCACGTTCCAAAAGAGAATATTATAGTAGGGCAAGGTATAACATAATATATTTTCATATCTTATCCAGACGAAAGTTACTATGTAATATTTTGAAAATCGATATATTCGATGTGGCTATAAGAAATAATAGTAAAATTGTATAAAAAAAAGAATAACATCAATGAAATGTCTGAAAAAAAAATACCCTTTTGCAGCAGGGTTTCGTACTAAAATCAAATTGACCAAGTCGAATTGTTTCCGCGTTACAATGTCTCAATTTTGGTTCTGCGCTATGATGAACGCTTATTTTTTATATTCAAAATTTATTTAGTTAAGTTACATCGCTATCAGTTTTCATGCTGCCATTATGTAGGTTGTATGCTCTATACCCTATTTCAGAGTCTACTAACACTATCCACTCTTTTAGATACATAAATTATCCTATATACATTGCGATTATAATAAAAAACCGAGTACATATGTTTGATCAAAATAGGAAAAGTAGTCATGATATTCACTAACATACGAACGGACCGTAAGGGTGGGGGTTAGTAGATGAACCCTTCTCGAGCGACAGCCTCGAGAATTACTCTATTTATATAGGTATATATTTATTCATTTAAGTGTATATACACTTGAACCCAGTTACTTATTAGGATGAGTTTGTAGGGATATATTAAACCGGGTAATTTCTGTGAAAACGTGCAATTTGAGCATAAAATAATTGGGAGAGGAGGGGGGAAGTTTGCAGGAAATTTAAAGTCACAAAAGGCGTATCGTTGATACTTACACCATGCATATAATGCAAAATTTCATTCCCCTCGCTTCGCTTGGGGTCTGATGAGATGTGCAAGACTAAAAAATACCCTCCTCCCGTGAGTATATTTATTTATACCTACTCGAAAGACAGTGCCGTGTTGGAACAGCTAA